CCACCGTGGACCCTGGCCCCTCGGCGACCACCACCACACCCCACACAAACCTCCACCATACAGCCACACGGACAACATCGCTCACGGTCAGCCTCCTGAGAGCTGATACCTGATCCGTAATCAAAGCCGAGGACCATGTGCCACCTAATATTGCCACGAATGGACCAATGGAGTCATCCTTCCAGCAAATCAATCAACCCTTATCTCTCCCTTAGTCTGGATCCACACTCTGAGTCACTAGACTGTCTATGTGGAAACTTGGGAGCTGCTTAGCTGTAGTAGGTTGAGAGGACCAGAGTCTCCATCCTCGCTTCTTCACTAGCCATTGACCGATCCAGTTTTTGCTATTACACACGCTAGAGCACATATTTGTCGCGCGAGCAGGGTGGTCTTTCAAAATAAAGTGCCCAGAGGTGGCACCGCTTTGGTGTTTAAGGCTGGCTAAGATCCTTGCTTGAGCACCCTGGGACAAATGCTATGCTAGGGCTCGGGATTTCCCATTAGTTCTGCGGTGCACAAGACATCCTTCCTCCTCAAGCATCCCACGGATGAGCACACTGGATCATGACCTCGCCCTCACTTCTCGCTCTGAAGCTGATCAGCGGCCTGTGCCTTCGAGACTAGGAAGCAAAGTTCTTCTTCGAACTCTCTCACATCTGACGAATTTGCCGAGACGTTTGTATCTGAGTCCCAGTGTCCTCTGCCTCGTTCAGTATTTTTTAATTAACACTCCGAATTTCAGCGTGCATTGAGTATTCTGCTTAAGAAAACTAGTAAAAATTTCAAATTCAAAATCTGCTAAAGTCCTATGCAAGATTTCATTAGTCACTGTGCTGTCCCTGATTCTGTTGTATTACAAGCCAGCTTTTTTTGTTTGTGTGTTTGTTTGCGATGCTGGGGTTTTTTTTTTTTGTTTTTTTAACTCAGGGCCTTGCACTTGCTAGTCAGGTGCTCTACCACTTGAGCCACTCCACAAGCCCCACAAGCCAACTTTTTATCAGTGGAAGCCTGACTTATAAATCATTAACTCTAAGAGAAAACTGGTAGATAAAGGCTAATCAGTCATGTTAGAGCCAACTGCCTTTCATTAGGCTGCCCTCATAGGTCTGAAATCTTCACTTTGACCCTGACTTTGCTACTTGTGGGGTAAGCAACATATTTGCCTACATTTCCCTAGAAGCAATAACTTCACTCATTCTACCTCTTTTACATTTCCATTGCCATTCTGTTTAAGTTTTTCCTTCTTTTGATCTGTAAGTCATCATCCAAGTCACAGTTCCTTCATTTTAATTTCAAGTACCTGTTCACAAATGACCTCATTTATTTACAGGACATGATGTTTGGGGTTTTGTGAGAGCCTCAGGGCTGAGTACAGACCAAGGTTGTGAGGCAAGTGGTTGACAATTCTCCTAGCCTCTGTTCCTCCCAGCTTTGGCCCCCAGCATCTCTGCATGGTAGTACCTTTTCCTGACCTCTCCTTTAATCCACAAGCCAGCAGTAAGGAGAAATGCTTAGTCAAATAGGTGACTGGAGGTAAGGTCAGATACTTACTACCTGCCTCATTGGAGGCACCTCTGCAAAGCAGAAAGTGCTCACCCCCTGCATCATTCAGGCACAGAATAAAACTTCAGAACTTGCGGTCTTAGCACTGGCCTTGCTGTTGACTTCCTGCAGTCCTCAAGCAGCCACTGTGTGTTTCTGGGTCTCCATTTCCTCATTATATAACCTAAGAGCATAGAACAAAGTGATTATTGAGTCCTTTTCAGTTCTGAAATTCACCTGTTGATTTGTCAGATGTAAATTTTGTCTTTCTAACTCATGTCAGTGTAAAAACTATGTTTACATACCCTGTAGGTTCATTATGGTCTACTTGCTCCCTTTCCCCCTATTAAAAGTTGCTGTTTACTTCACTAAGTCTAGGTGCATGTATGTGCTTATCTTAAGTAGCTCTAGCCAAATTAAAGATTTTTTTTTCTGCTCTCTTATGATGAATGAAATAATGATAATGTAGAACCATGAACTGACAAATGTCAGCCCTCTCTCCCCACTTAAAATTAAGTTCCTTTTGTCAGTTCTGTTTTTCATATTAACAGCTTCATAGTAAACACCTATACTTCGTACTCCAATGTGTGTTATGAGCCTAAACTTCACATTTCATCTGCACGTGACCTAATTTACCATGAATATTTAAAGCCCTGAAGATGTTAAAAGGAAATGTTAGGTTCTAAGGGGGAAAAGTATGTGTCTTTAAGAAGACTCCTGTGTAGAAGAAAGTGGTGATTTGGGTTTGTCCTGGCAGCACAGTCGCTTCAGCCTCTGCTGTGTATGTCACGGAGTGTGGAGTACTACCCTACAGTGCTTAGGATGTTCTTAACACTGTTTCCAGAAACTGGCAAGAGCCAACATCCCCTGAGCATTGGTTATGGCCAGATCCCAGGTCATCCTCCCAGCATGGAACCACTGTGGAGCCTATATGGAAGAACTCAGGTGGTCTGATCCCACAGCACTGGCATGCTCTTCCCATGGCCCTCTATACCTAGCTAGGAAGGTGATGCTTGCGACTTGTCAGGATGAGATGGCTTTGCAGTGTTGTATGAGATGCTTTTCAGTTAGGGAAATCAAGGTAAAATCTATTGCACTGGCACCCATAAAAGCTAGTTAGCATCTAAACCATGGGCTCATGATTAGGTTTTACACTTTTTTTTGTTTTGATGAAGTCTTTGGATGGCATATCATTTATGTAGTTCTTTTCTAAATGGATTTACTACTACTTAGGGGAAATTCTTTTCAATTTCAAAGTCAGTATTGTTGCCCTTCTCTGCAAAGAGGGAATGTTTATCCATATTGCTGGTCACTGTTTTACCTGGGTCTCTTCCAAGGTAAGTTCCAGCTAAGCTTTAGTTGTCCTTAGCGCCTACAGAAAAAAATAATAGAAGATGAAAATGTTAATCTTGGTATCTGTGTGCCTTAGAAGAAAGCAGAAAGAAAAGGAAAAAGATTAATTCCTAACAGTGCTTCCATGGGGAATAAAGCAAGCACTGTCCATTTGGGAAGCACATTTGCCTATTCCATATGACCTTTGTAATGTGCTCTTTTTCCTTTTACCTGCACTTTGATCATGGAAACCAAAAGAACATATAAGTGAATAGGAATCTGTGTAACTGAGAATTCTTTATATCAAAAATTGCTTGCTTCACTTTAAATAATTTTTGCCCTACCCAAAATAGAAGATGCTGGACCCAAGGAGTGCTAATTGGTGTTTTTCAACAACCCTGTATGATGTGGTCAGGAAGCAAGCACATGACTTTACCACCAAGCAGATGCAGTGGTCTCCAAAATAATATGTTCCTTCTGACCAAGTCCTGATTTCTTAGCAGAATGACCTGCAGGGCTCATATTGAACAAAGCTGGATTTGCAAACCCTGGAGGAACTAACTGGAAGTAGAAGAAAAATTCCCAAATTCTCATGTGAATTTCTTTTTAATCTCCAACAGAAGAATCCAGTTCTAGCACCTCCAAGCCTAAGCAAGATGATCCAGATGGCCGGAGAGATTGCTGATGGCATGGCATACCTCAACGCCAACAAGTTTGTCCACAGAGACCTTGCTGCACGAAATTGCATGGTGGCTGAAGATTTCACAGTCAAAATTGGAGGTATGTCCTTCACTTTCCAGATCCAGGCAAGAACTAAATTCACAGGTGTTTCAGGGACCTTGTGCACATTAACCATGGAGAGGTTTTCCAGTGCATCTCTTAAGTGCAAAGGACTTGCTGTTGTGTGCAAAGATGTGCAGTCAATGTGATTACCTCTAGTTGCTAGTCAGCCTGCCTGGGCTGGCTCTTAATTCTAACAGCACATTGACACAGTGGTTCCTAAGGTCACCTAGGTAGAACCCTTGTCAGCACTGGTTACAGAAGTAATCAGGACAGTGTCTCCATGATTTTACTTGAGAAAAAGTCACCATCCAATCTTCCTGCAGTTTTCCTAGCTTATAAGGGGCATTGTCCCCACAGAGGTCTACAGAGTGCCCTAAAGATGAAGCTCTTGCACAAGAGCAGTAGTGAGATGAGCAGGCATGAAACATTCTCTCGGGTGAGTGAAGATGACTGTTCATGGGCTTTCACCCCAGGGCCAGTCAGTCTTCAAGCTCTTGACCCCTCTCTGACAGCACTTCTTGTCATTTTCTTAAGCTGACCACCCCTCCCCTTAGAGCACTGTTGCCACACCCACTGTAACACTAATAAAAAGAGTTACGTTGTACTTCTCATCATTGTCTAGAAACTCTTCTCAGCCTTTCACTTTAATCCACCGAACAAAAACATATAGAGCATCAGAGTAGGAAGCAGGAAACCAACTGCTTTATCGTCCCAAGATGATTGTCCAGAAACATACCAAATATCCATTCTGAGAAACTGCAAAGGAGACTTAACATGCAAACAAAGTTATTTACAGTTAACCTCTTGGACCATTGCTCTGGAATCATTCTGCCTTTAGCAATATGTTTCCCTTTAGCAAATTTTTGAATGAAATGTTTTGGCCCCTTCTTAAGCAATAAGTATCTGCTCTAGAGTGGGTTTTCAATTGGCATTTATTTGGCAGTGTGTTTTCAATTGACATTTATTTGTAGGAGCTGAAGATGTTGGCATGCTGCTGTATCACAGAGCAGACATCACTTAGTCAATGGAGTTGTTCAGGATCTCCCAGTGGGTCCCTGGGCTTGGTCTCTGGGCATCCTCATATTTGGGAGGCTGTCCTGCCCTAGAATTCCCTAAAAAGCCACTCTTTTTAGGGATGCTTCCTGCTTCCCCTTCCCTTCCCATCTCTCACTTCCCTAGGATGACTCAGATTGTAGCTTCTCCTTCCCAGTACAGGGAAGAGCATCACTGGGCCTGAGTCTTAGTCACAATCTAGTCACTAATGCATGAGCTGAGTGGCCTGGGGCAGGTGCCTTCTTTCCTGAGAGCCTCAGTTTTTCCCCCTCTGAAGTGAGGGTTTTAACAGGACAGGCCCAGGAAGTTGTAGGATGTACCAAATACAGGAAGAAACCAAGCCCGTTCCCTCAGTAATGCGAGTGCCTGTTCTTATCCCATCCTCTGCTCCCATTCCTGACACAGGTGGAAACTCTGTTAAAGCTGCTTTTGTACCATTTTGTGTCACAGCGGGAGAAATGGTTTTTGTGTTTAGGACAAGAGAGGGGTTTTTTTGTTTTGTTTTGTTTTTTTTCTGTAATTTCTTCTTTTCCCATTCTATGCAGATAAAGACACATCCTCTCATTTGCATGTCCCTGAATTACTCAGAGATAAGACGTTGGCCCTTCATTTTTATTCTTCATGAGGGTTGATCAGTGCTTTCACAGTGCTCACAATCTCTTGAGTACAAACATGGCAAGAAGTCATTCCACCAGACATAGTTTGATGGCCCTTAATACAGCACGGTAAATTAGTTGGTTAATGTCCCAGAAACTTTGTTCTCTATGGGTTTGCTTTGTTTTGTAGCCTTACCTCTTTGCGACATGAGTTAAGAGACATGAATGGACATTTTTTAAAAAGCAAAATATCCCTTTCTCCTGGGAAAGAGAATGAAAGAGTTCATGTGAGAAAAGGTTGTATGATTGAGTGGAAAATCAAAATCTGACAAAGGCCCAATAATTTGGGATTAGAAAGCAAGCCTGCCATCAAACATAATTACATGACATCTTCTAGAGCCATAGGAAATGGAAATTTTCAAAAATGAGTGGGAGTATTATGTTGAAAACTGTATTGGGTAATAGCTTCACGCACTTAGTAAATAGTATTGCTTAGGCATCTCACCATGCACTTTTATCTTTGTGAATGTTTTCCCTCTTTTTAAGTGGTGAAAGACCTTTTCCTTGAGAAGGGGGCCATACTAACAAGAAAATGAGAGTCTACACTCTCCTGCTTATTTGATCAGGTTTTAAAGCCATGTGTCACTGATCCTTATTCTATACAGTATGTATTTTCTTCATAAATCATGGGACTTGGACAACTTGTCAACGGCGGTTGACATTTTAAATGCAACAAGAGAATTAACTTCTTAAAGGAACCAGATTATAAGTGTATTAAAAGCAGAGATTTCTTGATATTTCCTTGTCATGTGATTAATCATCCCTGTTTCTGCTGCATAAAATTGCAAACCCTAATATTGGTCCTCCTCAAAGTAGAGTGTGTGTATGTCTCACCTTGAATGTAAAGAGGACTAAGGACCTGTGCTGGGGCAGCAATAGTTCCTTTGCTTCTTCCCCAAGAGCTGCTCCAGCAGCATAACTTGCACCTTCTTTGCAACCTTCCAGATTTTGGTATGACACGAGATATCTATGAGACAGACTACTACCGGAAAGGAGGGAAAGGGTTGCTGCCCGTGCGCTGGATGTCTCCTGAGTCCCTCAAGGATGGAGTCTTCACCACTCATTCGGACGTCTGGTATGAGATACTTTTACTGCAAGGCCAGCCCAGGGCCCCTCCAGCCTCTAGAACTTTATTTTCCTCCTGGTCTGTTTGCTGCCAGCCATTTCTGCTTGAGGTCAGTGTTGGGTGGGCCATATTGCTTAATCTTTGAGGTGTTCCTGCTGTCGGTGGAATAGCTAAGGACATAAGGGCATCTGTGGGACTCCAAGGTATTTGTGGGACCAGCATTTCCTTCGACTTTTAGCAGTTATCATTTATGTTCCTAGGACCTAAATAAAGCCTTCACTTCTCTCTTCTCCCCCGCCTGCCTTCCATCTCTTTTATTCTTTCTCGGTAGATAGGTACTGGGTATATGTATACCTGCTCACCTAGTTGAACCTTCACTTTGCACACAATGCTTTACTTAGACTCAAAGCTTGTAAATCTTGATTCTGTTTCCCTGTTGGTCTCATCTGCTGTCTGTCCTCTCTGAGTAGATATCCATTATTGTTCACCCGTGAATAGTTACTGAAAACAAAATATCTCCCTTAGTAATAAAAGTGTCTTGTGATGGAAGTGTGTTGGCTGAGTGGTGCAAAGACTTCCCTAATATTGTTTATTGCAGTTCCTTGGAAACATTGTGTCGAGGCCATCAGGTTCCAAAATACAACTGAGGTTCTTGGCAGGCAAAAGCCCTGGCATATCCACCTTCTAGAATGTCAGCAAGTGTCTTGGCTGTCCTCTTGGGAGATCCTGTTGCTGTTGTGTTACGGAAACAGTAGTTGTTTACTCTAACTGTCCGATGACCGCATGGAGGAACTATTTCAGTACTGACCGACATCATTTTTTTAACCTCGTGAACCTTTCATAGTCAATCTTATTTTGAAGACAGGTGCAAATTAGAAATAGCATTTGAATATGACCCAGCATAGCCTGATTGCTTCTTGAACTCAAGATGAAATCTGTTCTGCAATCCTGTCCAAGATGGTTACCTCTTTTCTGTCAAATCAAAGTGCTTTGCAACCGTTTTAGATTGAGGTAGCAGGAGAGGGCACACCTGCATGCACACTTCCATGTGTTCATTCTGGGCTTGGTGTATCCAGAAGCTTTGAGGTCAGCTTGCAGAATAGAAAAACAGGCAGGGCAGGACGATAAAGCCTGAGTCATTAATCTCACAGGCTGATTCTACCCAGGTTCTAGTTAGCAACTGTCACTACAAGCAGCAGCAGAGGGACCCGTGCTGATCTCCTCCCCTTTGACTTCATAACCATTATGAACTGACAAGAAAAAACATGTATAAAGGATGCAGACACTTGGAATTCATTCCATCAAGCATCCAGGCATTGACAGTTGCTCAGGTTTGTTTTCTTTTTTTCAACCCAGCTAGGAAAGGCCAAGATGTTGGATTTATGGATGGTTTCTCAGCTTCCTGGACTCTACCCTGAAACTGTCCCTCACAGAAGAATGGAAGTCATTTCAGAATGTATTCAGGAACACAAGAGAATAATACCTAAATAGTTAAAATCTAGAAAGGAATACAAAGAATTTGATTTTACTTTGTAGGAGACCCCAGCATTATAGGATTAAGAGATATCCCTGAGATCAGGCTACGCCCTAAATCCCATCTGTAGCATTTTTCACAGCTGGCGCTTGAGCTTGTATTGACTTACTTTCAGAGATGGGGTTCACTCCCTTGCAAGGACGGGTGGGCCACCAGACTTCAGAAATCTTTGTTCTTAGTGTGCCTTTCTTGTGTTGTGCTTTAGTTGGTCTCTCTGTGACTCCCAGTTTCTGATCAGACAAGCTGTGTAGTTGTTCAAGGAGTGTCTCTGTCCTCTAGTTGAGTGCCTCCAGGTTCTTGCATCATCTGAGACTTTGTTGCAGGGTCATGGGGATGATAGCTGCTCTTTCTTCAGTTCCTAGGTTTTCCTCAAATGGCCCATTTGCCTTACAGGACACAATATGCCCCTAGGTATGGAGGAAACTCAGCAAGGGACTGCAGAGTAGTGCTCCCTTGCTGAGTTTGTTGTGCTCCCTTCCCAAACATCTGGATCATCTCTTGGGGACAGCCTTTGTTCTTTGACTTACTAAGTTTTCCAAAGGGTTACAAGTATCCGGGGTTTTTTGGTGCTTTGGTGGCTGATTCCCATTGGGAATATGGATTTCTCTATGTGTGCCCATTTGCTAGTGCCTGGGATGTTGACAAACCCCCTTGCTGTTGTGAGGAAGTGCAGTTGCTGAGTGCTGACCCCAGCCAGTGTTAGCATTGAGGTAAGACTCATCCCACTGAGTCTGTTACTTAGAGAAGGCAGCCTTAGTGCTCGTGCTTAGAGAAGACTTTACACACAAGCATTTCTCTAGTGTTTAATGATTAAATCTAGACTGACCATTGTCCGGGGATGGGGCAGGGTACATGCCTGTAATTCCAGTACTCAGGAAGCTGAGGCAAGCCTGGGCTATGTAGTAAGACCCTGTATCAAAAATGAATAAAACAGAAAGATTAAATCTGTTCCCAAAATATGAGACTTGGTTTTATATGAAGGCATTAATAACCAACACCACATAGCCAAATGCCTGCTTTGAAAAACACATGGGTATTGCTTAACTCTCATCATGGCTGAGTGACCTTGGTGAAGTCACAGGGCTTCTCTGGACTATTCTTGCTCTGTGTGTGGGGTGAAGGGTGTCTAGGGATATCTGTACTGCCTGTTTCCTCTGTGGTACCTTGATAGGTGATTAAGTGGCTCCTGTAATGATGGGGCTAGGTGGAGATGGTTCAGTCTCTGTACATTGTTAAGTATGACCACATGACAGGTGGTACATACTGACATCAGACAAGAGCGTGCTTAGGGAAAAGCTTTTGCAGTTCAATGTGATAAGAATTTGCGGCAAGTAAGGGCAGTTGCCTCCTGTTTAAACTGATGTGTGTGATTGTGAGATCTCCGTGTGTCAAAGGGGCAGTGATGACAAGAGATACCATTCCTGTCATCAGGATGAAGTCCTGTGGAGATAGGGAAGTAACCCATCAGGTTAGGGTCACAGAAGCCTTCATAGACAAATGAAATAGTGGGAGTACCTTAATGTATGGATTGTCACTAGTGGAACGATGGGAAAGGAGGTTCATGCAGTGGAAATGGCTGGGGCAGACATGGCAGAGGAAGCCCATGCTGCAGGTAAGGAACAGTGGGACTTTCCTGAAGGAGTCAAGTTAAAGAGAGATCAAATAAGGCCTGGGAATTTGGGGTAATTCTGCAGGCTCTGCAGTGAGTCTTAAGTGTCTTAACAGGAGCATGGCCTAGAAATGTGTTTTAAGAACTTTGTAGTAGCTAGAGTATGAAGCTGGCTGTGTTAGATGCTGAAGCCAAAAAGAGGTGTGTGATAGGTCAAGCTAGTTGGACCATTCTCACTAAGGAAGCTCTGGGAGTGTGGAAAGACTTTGAACAAACCTGAGCCTCAGTTCACAGATGATGGATGGTGGGGCTGCTCAGGTGGAATGGGGCATTAGCTGCAGAGAGGCCAAGAGAAGAACGGAGTACAGAATAGTTCAGCTTGAGACACATTGAGTTTGTGACTTAAGTAACTGGAGCTTGGAGTGGAGCCGTCGGGGCTTCAAGGGCCAGAATGGGAGCCTTCCAGTGAGAACTGGCTGCCTAGAAGCGGGTGACACAGCCAGGAAAGCGTGTGGGACAAGAGAAGTGGGCCAGGGAGGGAACCACGTCCTCAGATCACTTCCCAGGCCAGCTTGGATCCCTGTAGAGCCTTTACACATTCCAAGGCCAGGCTCCCACCCAAGACCCATCCAATCAGAGATTCCACTGAGGGCGCCTAGCATCAGTCTGTTTTTGGGGCAGGGCAAGAGTTCTCTTCTTCCTTGGCTCAAATCAGGATCCCTGTAGAGCCTTTACACATTCCAAGGCCCAGGCTCCCACCCAAGACCCATCCAATCAGAGATTCCACTGAGGGCGCCTAGCATCAGTCTGTTTCAGAAACTCCTGGGAGATTCTCTTATACAAGAGTGTTGAGAATCACTGGGGTAGAGGTCTCCAAACTGCCTGCTTGAAAGTCCCTTGAGTTGCTTATTAAAATATCTTGCTGGGGCCTGGGGCTCTCTTTGCATAAAGCAAGTTTGGGAGACACTACCCTGCCAGGTAAGTGGCTGGGATTAGGCTGAACACATATGATCTTGATCAGGTGCTTTCAAACTCTCCAGGGACATTGAAAGTTCCCAACCTTAGCTTCTTAAGGTTTGCCACCGGGCTGTCGTTGCTGTACAGGGAACATTAGCAGTGACAAAGGGCAGAATGGATGTCCCACTCAACCCAGTGCCTGGCTCACTATCTGCCAGGCACTGTCACCACAGGGAGAATACTCTTTTAGTGTTCAAGGTGAAGAAAATGCTGGAAAGGAAGGGTCATGTGACCCTGCCCATCCCTTTCCAAGCTGCTCACGTTTCGTTTCTCCTGTAGGTCCTTCGGGGTCGTCCTCTGGGAAATCGCCACACTGGCTGAGCAGCCGTACCAGGGCTTGTCCAACGAGCAAGTCCTTCGCTTTGTCATGGAGGGTGGCCTTCTGGACAAGCCGGACAACTGCCCCGACATGCTGTATGTACTTTCTGGATCCCCTCCACTCTCCTTTGATTTCATTCCTCAAATAACTGTTTTCCCAGGTCACAGAAGATGGGTAATTCTGGGAGCCATTCTCTGTAATCCTAGGGGTATGGTAATGGTTAGGAGAGGGTTAGAAGAGGGATTATTTATCCTCACAGAAGGAAATGCATTTGTAGGGTTTGTGATTTTGTGCAAGTACCTTAATTCCACCCCATATTCCTTAGTTCTTCAGTTCTGACTTAGAGTTTGCACTGGGATTTCTCAGATCCAGTGTCTTGGTGAAATATGTAACCAAAGCAATCCTGGATCATCCTTTTCATGCAAGGTTTTTAAAAAAAGAAAAAGCAACAACAGAACACTTACTTCTCTTAAGTCAAATTCAAGAACCTCTCTCCAACCTTTGGCAAGCCTAGGAGGACTGTGCAGCTGGTGTACACAGAGATGGTGTACTAGACTCATTCATACACTATGTACAGCACCTCAGTTGCAATACAGAGTCAAACTACCTCAGTACACTGCTATCTGGACTTCATCTCCCTCTACCTAGACCAGGGTTGAGCTGACTACTCTACTGACACAGTCCTGGGCACACCCATATTTAGGCAGTGGCAAATTTGTCTCCTCACCCCATTTCTTATGAAAGAACATCTTGTAGCATTTAGTTCTTGAGTGTAGGTCTCAGGGTTTGTGCTCCTTGGAGAAGTCTATATTAGTCAGTTTCTCATAGCTTGAACAAATACCTGAGCTAATCAACTTACAAAAAGAAAAGGCTTAGTTCACAGTTTGAGAGATTTCAGTCCGTGGTCATTTGGCTCTGTTGCTTTTGATCCTGTGATGAGACAACACCCAGAATAGTCTACTTTTTAAGCAACTCAGAGTCAGCAGATTAGAAGCCTAATTAAAGGAATGAAACATCCCATCATATTCAGAAATCCCACCCATACTGTATGGGACATTTATACCAGGGCTATCCTAGAATTTTGTAGTCTCAGAATGGACACCGTTGGCTTATTAGCAAACCAAGGTCTTGTTTTCATCTCAAAGCACTTTGAGTGTTTCTCCCTAGACTAATCCCATGTATCAGGGCTGGACCTCATTCCTCTGGCTCTGGTTGTGACTGAAGGGTACGTAGAGCAGGGCAGATTGGACACAGCCCCCTGTGTTGCAGAGTGTATTCATTGGGCACTGGGCTTATTGGCTGCTGCTTCTGAACTTTGATTCACTGGAAGCTTGTTCTTCACATGAATTAATACCACAAGGAGGATGCCAAAGAGAACACCGCAATGACAGCACTGTCCTCTCATTGGCTTAGATGTATAGAGGTTCCCCTGGTCTCCCTCTGAGCATGGTCTGAGCCTAGGCACAGTCCTGGACCCACAGGGAAAGGCCATCTCTGCTTCTCAGAGGGTAGTATATATGGACTACCCTAGGGCTCCTGGATCACTGATCAGAGACTTCGCAGCACAGCCTCTCTAGAAATCTATAACCTACAGTTAGAAGAGACTCAAAGGATACTCTATGCCTTTTCTTGCATGAAATGGCACCCTCCCCATAACTTAATGGTTGAAGCAGTAATAAGAATTTGTTATCTCACAGAGTATCTGAAGGTGAGGAACCTAGGGAGCACCTTAGTGGAATGACTTTCAGGAGGTTGAAAGTGAGTTGTTAGCTGTGGCTATAGTCATCTAAGGCTCTCCCAGGGTGGCAGCCCACTTGCAAGGTGGTGTGGTCAACAATATGGGTCTGCATCACACTGCCAGTGTCCTTACCTTCTCCATGGACCTCCCCGTAGCACGGTAAGCGTGTCCTCGTGACATGCAGCTGGCTTCCCCACAGGCAGATAGTAATGAGTTTTGGCTCTGTTATCATACCTCAGTTCTGCTGCTATGGTGAAAAAGTAGCCATGGAGATCACATAAAGGATCATGGCTGCATTCCAGTAAAACTTCAGTTTTGGATACTGAAATTTGAATTTTATGTAATTCCATGTAGTCATAAAATATTCTTGTTTTGGTTTTTTTCCTCAACCATTCACAAACATAAAATCCATTCTTAATTTGGAAGCCTTACAAAATCAGAGAGACAGCAGGCCAGATTGGGCCCATGAGCCCATAGATTCCCTGCCCTGCCCTGCTGGGCCTTGCCCTAGAGGCAGTGATCTGTAAGCAGAGGGGCCACCCCTGTGCCCTTTCTGACCTAACCTCAGAAGGCACACTTCACAGCTGCCACCATCCCCTCTGGGTTCCACAGTGTGGGAGGAGCTCTGGGTGTCCTGGATGCTGTCTCCCACCCATGCTTGAGGTATCCCTCAGAGAGGAGCATCTGCTCTCCACCTTGAGCAGTGACTGCTGTACCCATACCAGCCCATTACAAGAAAAATTCCCTTTCAGAGCCAAAATGTAAGCAATGGAGTATAAACCTTGGTGCCCCACCACATTTGCATAAAGTGCACAGTGCCAGAATAGATTTGCATACTAGAGTCAGTTATGTTTTGCAAACTTAGAAACAATCCAAGAGAGCAGGTGTGAGTTTTGTTCCTGTGGTTTGGGGTTGGTCGCAGAAGAGGTATTGTTTTTGTGCTTTCTCTTAGACTCAGGCAAACTTTTATCTCTGAGAAACTCGTGGGACGCATGAAGTTGATCCACCTCCAGATGACTGGAGTTTTCATATTAATTTAATATGCCTGGGAAGCAGCCACCTGCCATGGGAAAGGCAGTGGACTTCCTGTTCCCAGCATAACAAGAGGAAAGTTTATTTGCAGAGGTTACTCTTGGATCTGAAATGTTTAATTCAGAAGGCATTTCTGCTTTGCCATCCAGAACCACTTTGGCAAATTTGTCTCCTTTCTAAGAAAAGAACAAAATGAAGGGAGGCAAGGTAGCTTCCTAGGGAGTGTCTGGTGTCCTTCAGAGTTTACTGATGAAGAAGTGTTCTGGAAGAAGGATTCTTTGGTTACAAGAAATAAAGAATAGAAGAGAGGAGAGTCCCTCACAAAGCCCTTGGGAATTGTCTGAAACCTTCTGGGTCTCATGTCAAGAGGAAGCACTTCTGTTGCGTGGTTCTGAGGTGGGAACCAGCATTCCTGGCAATGTTGTGGCCACAGGGGACTTCAACTATTTAATGATGCCTGCACAAGCAACAAGAATAGCCATATCCCTATCCCTTGGTGTCACAAAGTATTCTGGATTTGGAGGAAAGACACCACTGTCCAGGTCCCAGGGTATTCATGTCTGTAAGTCTCAATATCACCACTTGGTTTGGATTAATTTAGCAAATATCATGATATCAGATTCAGGTTGTGATTTCCTGCTGTATCCATATTTTAAATTGATTATGTAGTCCATCCTTAACCCTCTGTTACATCCAGATCTCAGTGTTTAGGTCACAAACGTTACTGAACCCTATGGGTGTGTGCTGGCTACTGAGGTTGCGAAGATGAGTAAAGAGTGGTCCTCAGTTTCATGAAACCTAGTGATGTGTAAGGCCCTAGCTATAAATGCAGGATGAGGTCTGGGTCAGAGATCTGAGTTCAGCCATTAAAACTTAGGCTAAGAGTTATTCTGGTAACATTTCCACAACCCATACACGTCAGGTCTTCAAAGAACTTGAACTTACTAACTTCAAGAGTCAGATACATCTGAAACAAACTCAGTCAAATCTAACTTTTTGCACTTTTCAAACACAATTTTTCCTTTTGCTGATTAAAGATCCCACATTGTTGAGAATCCCAGGCTGGTTTTGTAGGTTCCAAACAGTCTAGAATGGCCCCTCCTACCCAATTAGCATACCATGAGCTTTTGCCTCAGCCCACACCACACTCTTCCACTGGCCTAGCGGCCCTAGCTGGGAAGTGACTGTGCAGCTGGGAGGGGACACACTCAACCCTGCAGGACCTTTCTGGAACCTGCTTGGTGAGCTTGGTGAGCATCACTATCAGGCTGAAGCTGTGCTAACCAGTCAGTAACAAGAGTGCTTAGGTCATGAGCTGCCGAGCACATCTTGGCTTGCTGTCATCCCTCACAGATGATGGCTGTCCAGTAAAGAGTGTTGGGGTCCAAGAGGAGGTTGGGAATAGAGAGATGTCTCCAGGTGCAAGTACTTCTGACTACCTCCAGCCCCTAGGATACAGTTCTCTCCTAGGAGCTCCTGCACAGCAGAGTAGGGGTTTCACTGGCTCCTGTCCCTTCCCCTGGTACTTGCCCCAGAAGGAGCACATTCTATAAAGGACAGCCTCAGACCAACCAGAACTGACCAGTGGTTAAAAATGTGCTTTTTAAAAGAAGAGTTTATCAGCTCATAAATACTTCTAGAGTCTACTGGAGCATTTTCTTGTGGAAAGAGTGTAAACAAGGTCTTGAATCCCACAGAGTAAAAAAGACTTCCTTTTATGGGCAGCACTGGAAAGGTCTTGCCTCTGGAATGATTTAAAAGAGGCATCACATGGCTTGTTTGTGCTGATGTCACCGCATCACTGCCCTGCCGGTGGCACCTCCTCAGCCCCTAGCCACAGGGAACAGAGCCAAACACAGCTCAAGTCCTTGGCCCTGACCACACTTCTATTCAGGGATAAGTCAGTCAGCCAGAGAGGAAATCACAGTCAGCCATGGAGATGAGTTCCATGCGTTTATGGCCATTTTAATTACTTTGGAGAAGAGGGTCTTTTTTCTTGAAAAGCAATGGGGAGTATGTGAAGGCAGATCTATTTGCCACCTGACAAGAGCAAGAGGCAACACACTAGCTTCCAGTTTATCAGTGAGAACTAGCACTCCAAAGGCATCTGACAGAGGACAGCTAGAAGGAAGGCCTCCTAGCAGTATCATGTTTATTCTTGCTCAGGGTGACCAAAACCTAGCCATACTATGTCACAGAGATATCCAACCCATCCCTGCTGTACTCTCACTAGTTTTGTAACCTTGGACAAATTATTTAAGGTCTTGGTGCTTCTTTTTCCTCTTGTATAAAATGGTGGTGTGCTGTAATAAAGAGCCCATCCTTAGACTCACAAAGACAAAGCTGTTCCCACACACACAACTGGCCTGCATGGACACAACCAGTCGTTCATCACCAGTGCCAGAGCATGCCATTGTGGTAGGACCCAGGATTACTGGGGAGGGAAAATAACTGGTCAACTGTCATCTTTTGTCTAGTTCTTTTTCTTCCAGAGCAGAGGTCTGACACCTTTTTCTTTAAAGGGCCAGACAGTAAATATTCTAGGTTTGCAGGCCAAATAGCCTCTGTTCTAACTACTCAACCTGCAGTTGGAGCTTGAAAGCAGCCACAGATGATATGTAAACACTACTCTGCTTCAGTGAAACCTGATTTACAAAAATAGACATCTAACCTGGCTATAATTTGCCTCTAGAACTTTGAATCTGGATGGATCTCCTTTTCACCTGTTCCTACCCTCCCTCAAGGTCACTTCCTCTACCTGACTTGACCTGGCCTAAGTTAGGGTCTTCTAAGGTTGCCGGCCAGATGGGCAGGGAGCCTTTCTCTCTACAGGCAGCTTCCATGCCTGCCTGAGGGCTGCTGTTGCATCATGCTCTCTTCTTGGAATTCTCCCTGGAGTCAAACATAAGCAGGTGGTCTGGTGGTCAAGGGATTGGCTGGAGGTCAATCTGTGATGCTTTGAGCTTCTGGGATGTGGAAGGCTCCATTTGACCATTGTGGCTAAAAAGCATCTGTTTAGTCATAAGTTTTCAAACAAAACAAAAAGTATCATTTTCCATCAAGAACAAAGGTGGGAGGAAAGACACTTTGGTTTCATGCTTTTGTGAGGCTGCTGGCCCGCCCCTCCTCAGAACGATGCTCTTTGTGGCTATGCCAGACCTTTGCTTCTTCACCTTCCTCCAAAGATCTCCATCCCTCCTTCCCTCCATCCCTCCCTTGCTGTCTCTTCCCTCCCTCTCCCTCCATCTCTCTCTCCCTCTTCTCTCCTTTCCTCTCCTCTCCTCCTTCCTTCTGCCTCCCTCTCGCCTGCCTCCCCCGCCCCCCTCTCTCTCTGTTCATACTCATCAAAACCCAGTTGGGGCAATGGCTATATGAACAACCTTCCTTTTCTTCTCTGTGAGGCCTTCTGCCCTCCATGGCCAGGAAAACACCATCTGGCTCATGTGTCTCTGAGGTCTTCAGAGAGGTTGCCAGTGTAGCTGGTGTGACCAAGGCACAGCATGGGCTCCACATTTTATTCTTGGCCCATCCTTGCTTGTGGAGGGGGCTCTTGCCACAGTCCTCCTCACCAATTTGTTGGGATGCAGCTTGAGATCTCTGTTAGGACTTGTTTGCTTCAGCGCAGCCGGGTCGTGGAGCAAGGGCTCTATCTTTATGGGGTGCACAGGATTGAGACTGCAGACTTGGAATGTATGCTTCTTCTTTCTGGCAGCCCTATTGCCTCCTTTCTTAGGCCCTGCACCGAGAAGCAGCTTAGAAATAGCGTAGGTGGGGTGCATAGAGAAGCTGTGATCAGAACTCAGACTTGTTCGTAGAAAACTGAGGTTTCTGATTCTGGAAACGATGTTTATAAAGCCAGTGGCTGCAAGAGATGTTTTAACTACAAAGTTGGTTGTTTTTTCTTAGCACTGCCACCATAAATAGGACCTGTCACGGTGAACTGTGTGTGAACCAAGATTGGTCCTGGTTTTATACTGCAGTACAGTCAGGCTTGCGGTGAAGTGAATGGAATGGTGGGAAGTGAGATGGCAGAAGCCAAAGGCTACTTTGGTCATTCCGATGGAAAGCCACAAGTAAAGGGAGACGGCGGAACTGTTCGTGGCCTTTTACTCTATGTGTATGGGCAAGGACTCCACTGGAGAGGCCCACAGCACTGCTTGGCCAGGGGCCTCCTCCCAGTCATGCTCCTCCTCTGCCATCTTTCCTCAGGTTCGAGCTGATGCGTATGTGCTGGCAGTACAACCCCAAGATGCGGCCTTCCTTCCTGGAGATCATCAGCAGCGTCAAGGATGAGATGGAGCCTGGCTTTCGGGAGGTCTCCTTCTACTACAGCGAGGAGAATAAGCCGCCCGAGCCAGAGGAGCTGGATCTGGAGCCTGAGAATATGGAGAGCGTCCCCCTGGACCCCTCTGCCTCCTCATCCTCCCTGCCGCTGCCTGACAGACACTCGGGACACAAGGCCGAGAACGGCCCAGGCCCTGGAGTGCTGGTTCTCCGAGCCAGCTTCGACGAGAGACAGCCTTATGCGCACATGAACGGGGGACGCGCCAACGAGAGGGCTTTGCCGCTGCCCCAGTCTTCGACCTGCTGATCCTCGGATTCCGAGTAACGTGTGTGCACACTCAGCGGCAGGGTGGGGGGAGAGCAAGTTTTCACAATCTGTTCACAAGCCTCCTGTACCTCAGTGGATCTTCAGAACTGCCATTGCTGCCCACGGGAGACAGCTTCTCTGCAGTAAACACATTTGGGATATTCCTTTTTTCAATATGCAAGCAGCTTTTTATTTCCCTACCCAAACCTTTAACTGACATGGGCCTCTACGAAACCTTCATGACAACACCTAATAGCAACGTAACACTTGAGAATTGACTTTCCTTGGTCTCTGACTCTCCCTGTCTCCCTCCCACTCGCCCTCTCTTCCTTTCTCCCTCTCCTTTTCCTGCTTCATAATGGAAAAACATTTGTCACAAGCCCAGCTGGGAAGCTTTTTTTTTTTTTTTTTTTTTTTTTAAATCAGATTGAGGAAATGGCTGTCCCTGGGGCTCCACGTCACCCCTGAACACACCTGCCTGACACCTGACACCGTAGGTCTTTACAAAAACAAAACCACACGCACATTGAGACGGAATTTTTTAACCATATCTTTAACCTTTTTAGGGTCATTCAAAATTTAAAAAGGGCCATCTTTATCCACGGTTGTTACCATTTTGATGCTGCCAAATTCTGCCAAAATCCTGAACTTTCTCCCTCATGGTCCCCCACGCTGATTTTCTTCTGTCCAGAGGCATGGGGTGAACATGGTCTGTAGTGAGTAACTCTGTTTAAGAGACACGATGGCTGTGCGCTTTAACTGCCCATCCCTGGGTGTGCTTTCCAAGTCTACATCCACCTGGGTCTCACTGCTTTTGATGACTAGGTTATTACTTGGGGGAACTGGACAAAATGGAACTTTTCCCTCCACAAAGGAGGAGGAAGGCTGAACCGGCTTCCCCACCCCTCTCCCTGCCCCCACCCACTCGCACCCCGAGAATTCTGGAGGAAACAGCCCTGAGTGAACCTGAACATCAGGCTGTGGGTCAAAGTGTTGTCCTCCCCTCAGCCCAGGCCTCCCTCCTGACCCCCAAGGGACACAGATGGGGAGGAGTTCCAGGGACTCAGCCTGGCTGTTCATGCAGGTGTGCAAGGAAGGGATTCAGACACCACAGCAGTGTGCAGAAGCGCAGGCGATGGATTCAAGCATTCTAAGCTTTGTTGACATTTTCTCTGTTACTAGGACTTCTTCATGGGTCTTACAGTTCTATGTTAGACCATGAAACATTTGCATACACATCGTCTTTAATGTCACTTTTATAACTTTTTTACGGTTCAGATATTCATCTATACGTCTGTACAGAAAAAAAAAGCTGCTATTTTTTTTGTTCTTTATCTTTGTGGATTTAATCTATGAAAATCTTCAGGTCTACCCTTCTTCCCTTTCTGCTCACTCCAAGAAACTTCTTATGCTTTGTACTAGAGTGTGTGATTTTTTTCCTCTTCTCCCAGTAATTGATTCTTCTAGAACATAATTTGCCATGAACTGTTTGATGCCTTTTTATAAACACATCCTCCCCTTCCCTGCTCCCCCCAGCCCCTTTTATTGTCTTCTAACCTGTAGGCTCTGTGGGCACGAAGCTGGTGAGGGAATGAGGCAGGATGGAGGCTTGGACCAAGGTCCCTCTTGGTCACACTCTTCTTATGTTGCCTCCTCTCACACAGCATTAGCGTCTATTACAGCGCAAGACATGATGCAAACTCAGGTCAGAAACAAAAAGTTTGAGTATCTCACACATCCGTGTTTGGTGTTTATAGTCCCCATTGTTGCAAATTTTATCTTCCCTTTCCCTTGCCTTTGTTTTGGTTGTGACACACATATATATATTTTTTTAATTCTTGGGTACAACAGCAGTTTTAACTGCAGACACTAGGCATTTGGATTGCTATTTTTTTTAACGGATATTTAATCCTTCCATCCCACAAAAAACAGCTGCTGAGTCCCAGGGCACAGCAGAGCATGGTCCAGCAGGCCCTCTGCCGTGCTCCGCCACCCTCACCAGACCGACCTACCTGTCTCTAGAACCAGAGCATCCCCAGGGACCTCCTTCCCACTGATGGGGTGTAGGACCCCAGCACCCCTTGGCTTGGGGTAGCATCCTCAGGGGTGAGTGCGAGCGAGCCTACCGCCAGGTCTGCCGGCCTAAGTGCTGGGAGGGGCAGTAGCCCCAGAGCCCTTTGCTCACTCCCAGGGGACCAGAGCCTGGCGGTGGTGTGCTGTACCTTGCCCAAGAATCCTAGTCCTCGGGATCTGGGGATCTTGTTTTGTTTAGTTTTTAGCACTTCTCACCAGAGTGATAACAGCACAAGAGTTGCTTCTGGGATGGAAATGTTTAAATCATGAGTAAGAGCAAAGCTCAAAGATGGTGGTTGCTAATTGTGACTGGAGAGTAAACACAAAAAAAAGTATGCAGTGAGTTTTTGCTTCTCAGTGGTTTCAGTCTCACAACTTCCTCACTAGCCTCTGTCCCATACTATTTTCCTGAAAATGAAAAAAAAAAAAAGGAAAAGGAAAAAGTTAATTAAGAAGGTATTATATGTAGGAGTTTTCTTTTAATTTATTTTGTGATACCAGTTTTAATCACTGTAGAGAAGCCCCCATTATGAATTTAAATACTGAGGAAAGAGTTTGTGAGTGTGTGTAAGAGAATGTGTGTGAGAGTGAGTGTGCGTGTGTGTGTGTGAAGACAGGACAGTTTTTGGTTTTTTGTTTTTCAAACATTTATCTACCTCACTATTATTTTTTATATGTGTATATAGAAAAAAGAATACATCTCACACTTCTCAGCACCTGACAATAGCCCGTTGATACTGGTAACCTCATCCACACCACAGGCCACACACCCAGGTGACACAGGGAGAGAGGCCAGGCTGTATTCCGGGGTCAAAGCAACACTAACTTACTCACATCTCTACTCATTTCAAACAGCTTGTCTTTTTCTGAGAAGTCTCCTCTCCTGTTTGCCTTGTTCTTTTTTCCTAAACTGATTCTCTCAGAGGTTGCAAGATGTCAGGGTTTCCCTGCTCCCTACCCAGCAGCCCCTATGAGCTCAAGGAGGTCACCAGAGCACACTGTGGGGGCCACCTGGTCATCCCTGGCTGGTTGACTTTGGAACAAATCTAAGCAGAATCAATGACCAAATCATTTCGTCCCTGAGAGAGCAGGCCTTCCCAGGTTGGAGGGCGAGAAGGTGCCCACATGCAGTCTGTCTGGGAGAATCCTGTGTGTGCATGTGGGGTATTCAGTTGGCTCCTTCAGCTGCTCCTGTGAGGCCTGCACCGAGCAGGGATGTGCAGTCACATCAGTAATCCGAGAGCTTGGTCCACCAGCATTCTGCTGAATGCAAGAGGCTCCAGTGTAACAGCCAGTGTGGTATAGAATGGGCAGCACTCTCAGACTGCTCTCTCACCTCCTTCCCAGGGGTGAACAAGGACAGACCAAACCTTGGGGCTGGGAAGGCCAGTGGTTGGTGCCTAGCCACCTCTGTGGCATTGCACCTCCCCCCAGGGCTGTGCCCCCGTCCGGCCCTTCATCTTGCTGCTCACATGGGTGGACGGTGCACTCCCCACTTCCAGCAGCTGCTCTTACAGGCCCTGGGGACTATAGCTGGGAAACGTGGTGGGTGGTTTTCCCCAAGTGTGGACAGCTGCTTAACAGCTTGCTTACTTTCAGATAAGCTCAGGAGTCTTGTCCCTCCTGCAAGAACGCTACCCGTCTCCAAGTCTCCGGGGATCTCAAGGTCACTGAGGGATGCTTACTGTTTGATCAGGGTTTTCTTCTTCCACACTGTATGTGACCCCTTGGAATTGTGGCCTCTCCTCTCCTTTGCACATACCTACTGGTTTCCACAACTGGATTTCTACAGATCATTCAGCTGGTTATAAGAGTTTTGTTTAAACTGTCTTAAGTTGTTGGTATCATTTTGTTTTTGTTTCATGTAGGTGGCTTTTTCTTTAAGTAGAGAGAAAACACTAGCAGTGTAGTGCCCATCATAAATGCTTCAGAAACACTTCAATAAAAGAGAAAATTTTGCTCGTGTGCTGGTGCAGTTATTTTACTGGACCAACTTACCCACCCATCTTGACTATACCAAGGCATCATGTATCCACAGTTCTAGCCTAATTTTATGCTGATTTTCCCACCTCTTTCTTGGTTTTTCTCTTTTGTATGCTGCAAATAATCTCATCAAGCTGAGTTTTGTGGCATTTTCCATGCACCCTCCTTTCTGACAGCAGCTCACACTGCTTGAAGTAACATGAACCACTGAGGCACATCATTGAATTGATGTGAGCATTAAGACATTCTCACACACAGCCCTTCCGTGAGGCAGCAGGAGCTGATATATTCTGGAGGCATTGTCGAACTTGAACTCTGTGAGACCCAGATCGCCCCATGTCTCCTTTAGGGGATGTCCTGACGTTTGACACACAGTTGGAATGTGCTTCCTTCCTGGAAGATAGAAGACTGTGTACGTGGCCATCACTGGCCTCTCCTTCCAGCCTGTTTCTTAGGACTTGGGACAACATTGGTACATGTCACTGGTAGGAAAAGCGGCTTCATAAAATAGAAAAGTAGTTATCCTAAAACCATCAAATGGCAAAATGCTTGATATGAAGTGGTATGTTTAGTTGGGATGACAAATTGACAAGCTATGTCTGATGCCAAATTTCAAGGCCAGTCCAATCTACCGAAGCCTCTTTTTCATTCTTCCACCTCTTGTTAGCAGGTGGCCATACTTAATGCAGATACCTAATGTGGCAAGGTCCTGCTGAGCTTGGGTGAGAAGACTGGAATGCTCACCCAAAGTTCTCCCAGGGTGGCCAGACAGCATTGACAGTGTTGAAGGCAAAACTCCTTTCAAAAACATAGGCACCCTCCAGGTGACAGTAGCACTCCATTATATATGTCTTGGCCCATTCCAGCAATCCCAGCAATGCATTTATGGTTTGGGGTTTGTTACTTTGTTAATGTTACTTTCATGTTTGTCAGCTGTCTTTTCATTTGGGCTAAGCAGCAGCACTGGGAGACGTGGACCAGAGATCCACTCCTTAAGAATCAGTGACGACACTCACACTTTCTCACTCCACTCTGAACTAGTTGGTGGTACAAATGAGAACTTCAAGAGAGGATGTTGTTTAGATTGACCCTTTGTTGCCAGAGATGCTGAAGATACAGGCCTTAGGCCAGAGGGTTTCATTTTTGGCCTCCCAACTTGGATGACTAGTCGGTCATTTAAAGAAATGAGAAAGTTTCTTGATGGTGAAACGACCAGGCGGTAAGATCACACCATGAAGAAAATTACAGGCAGAAAGGTTCAGGGCTTGGAAGAAGCATGAGTGATGTTTTTAAACTTGATGGTTTCTGAAGGTATCAGACCACAACAAGAACAGTCATCTGTGGGCATTTGGTTTCAACAAACCCAACATCCTGCTCTGGAAACTTCTCACTGAGTAAGTCACATTGTTAAAGAACACAGACTGCATGGCACTCACCAGTTGAGTTGTCTATTCTGGGGCATGAGTTTAGGGTTTTGTTTTATTTTGTTTGTGGAAGAACATAATCACTCATTTGTATGTCCACGTTTGTGTGTCCACATCTTTCCGGTAAACATTTTTAAAAATTAGTCACTCATTAGCGTTTCCAATAGGACTTTTCAGTCCAGTAGATTACGGGTAGTCAGCTGACGAAGATCTGGTTTACAAGAACTAATTAAATGTTTCATTGCATTTTTGTAAGAACATAGAATAATTTTATAAAATGTTTGTAGTTTATAATTGCCGAAAATAATTTAAAGACACTTTTTTTCTCTCTGTGTGCAAATGTGTGTGATCCATTTTTTTAGAACACCTGTTTACTAGCTAGCTTTACAATATGCCAAAAAAGAAAAAAGAAAAAAATTAAAAAAAAAAAAAAAAGATTTTTCCTGGACCCAAGCCGTGGCTCACCCTCTTTGCCCCCATGCTTTGTGCCCTAGTTTATAACAAAGGAATGATGATGGCTTAAAAAGTAGTTCTGTATCTTCAGTGTCTTGTTTTCTAGAACCCTCTGGTTGGGAAGGGGGGCATCTTGTACTTGTCATTTCCCTTTGGAGTACTGCAATTGACAGATGCACAGACCTCATTGGTTGTAGAAAAGACAGAGGTGTTACCGCCCAGCAGTGCATGGCACTGTTGGCGTCTGGCTTGGTGGTTGTCATTGTTCTGCAGTGCCATGGAGGTGGAAGGACTTCAGGCACAGTGAATGCTTCCACAATAATCAGACAAAAGATTTTGGGCTCACAGGCCATTCATTCGCTTATATGCCTCATATTGTGATAAATGCTTTGTCCTAACAAGGAAAAGACCTTATTTATTTTTGTTTAAGGCAGAACACTGAAGATACATTCTTTTCTGAGACAAAACAAATTATTTTTAATAAAAACTACAACCCACCCCCCCAGTTTTTTTTTTTAAGTTTAATTCTATATCCTCTGGCTCCCACTACATTATTGGCCATGTCTACTTAACTCTACAAAATGCTCATTGTTGGAAACATCTGGAACTCTTGCACTCCGTAGGAGAAAAGTCCAGAAACCATTTTTCTAGTTTGCAACTTCTCATTTGGATGTTTGGCGTTGTGCGGATACATCCACAGGTGGAAGAGATGTCTGGTGAAAACACCCGTCTGCTTTCTAAGCCAGTGAGGTTGGGGTGAGAGGTTTGCCAGAGTTTGTCTACCTCTGGGATTAAAAAAAAAACCAGAAGGTGCGATGGAATAGATGCATCGCAAATAATGCATTTTCTGAGTTTTCTTGTTTTAAAAAAAAAAAAAAAGTTTTTTTAAAAAAGTTAAAAAAAAAAGAAAAAGGTAATAACATGGCCAATTTGTTACATAAAATGTGTATAAATTATTCCTAAAAATTCTGTTTATATAAAAAAATAAGTAGATGAAAAAAATTTTCAAAACGTTTTTGTATATTCTGTTGTAAGAATTTATTCCTGTTATCGCTATACTCTGAATTCTTTACATTAAGGAAGAAAAAAAACTTTGTCTATTTTGGATGGCTGATGCTAAGGCAACTTTAGTTTCTCTTACTCTGCTTTTTTCTAGTAGTTAAAGTGCTACATGGTTTAAGTTAAATAAAAGAATTCTGTATGCACTTTTTGTCTCTGATTTTTTTCTTCATGTTTTCTGGAACCGTCACCACACTTCTGTGTTGGGGGCCCAAGCAACATGCATGTTCACATGTCACTTGGAAGTGCTCTGCGAACAAGCGCTGCCTGACTGCTGACAGCTGAGACATCCCAGCATAAAAATTGCTGGTGAAGTCAGGGAAGCTACTCTCGGTCTATTAAATCAGCTGGATGAAAATTTGAAAACAAAGTACCGAAACCTGTATTCATTTTTGACTGATTTGTAAGCTTCTTTCTTAGACCGTCCACTGACAAACATGAGACCAAGGTATATTCGATCTTCGTGACTTTGGGGCAGAGGACTTCAATGCTTACATTTCCATATCCTTGTGAGTACTTCACCACCAACATAGCCCGCCTTGGAATGTACCAGAGAGAACCAAGAAAGCCACACAAGGGTTATGGCTGGCTGCAGGTGTTCCAACATATGATCCATGCAAAGCCTGTCCCAGGGGCTTTGCAGTCTGGAGTGGGGTGTAGAGGGTTATTAGTGATTATGGTTGGAAAAGGAAACAAGCTGTAAATGTTCTAGAATTTGACCAAAGAGGCATAGATGACCTCAGAAGGAGAAGCTGCTTATCTTAACTTTGATCATAGGAAGTCATACTCCAGTGACCATCAGGCCAGCAGATGAGCTAAACAGCAAGGTGTAGGCAGGAAGGGAAATCAAAGGCCAAGGTTAGTCAAGATCTGGTCTCACAGGTATTTGGATGAACAAGCAACAAGCCACAGAGAGCAGGTGAGCCTCCAGAAGTTAAACGCTCTTCTCTCTCTGCCACTTCTTAAAAGGCTTTATTACTGTCACAGATCCAGCTGTGTGTCAGTCTGGTTTGCATTATTACAACAAAATACCTTAGGTGAACTTTATAAAGCAAAGTCATTTAACTCTCATTTCTGGAGGGTCAAAACATAGCACCACCATCACCTCAGCTCTAGTGAGGACCTCATGGCCGATGACAAGTACATGTGGAAGGAAGACATCACATCTCAGAAGGAAGCCAGCGGCAAGGCAGGGACAGCTTTACACACTCTTCTGAGGGCAAATCCTCTTGTGACCTAAGAACCTTCCACTAGGGTCCATCCATTAAAGGTCCCACCATCTCCTAACATCACACTGGGACCAAACTCCCAACACATGAACCCTGGGTGGAGGGGACACGAGCCATTTCTACAGCATACCTAGCTATGATTCCGTGCACTCAGGTGTAGTCTTCTGATGTCACTGAAGGACTTTCACATCTGTTCTCTTACTGGATATTCACAACCACCATGCCAAGGCAGAATTTTTTTTATTCTGTTTTGTAGACGAACACATATACATAAACATGCCCCAGATCCCCCCAGCTATCAAGTGACAAAACCAGGACAGACTTTTATGTGATGATTTTCAAACAGAATGGCCCTGTATCAGCCATAACTGAGGCACAGTGCATATCAACAGGAATGCTAAATCCTTTCAACTGACCGGAATGCAAACAGACCCCTCTAGGGTGAAACCTTCAGGGGCCACAGAAGGGGAAATAGTGGGGAACTTCATCACAGAGGAGCTCTGGGCCTTCCAACTGGATATCTAAAAACGTTTTAATGGACATGGCCTGGTGTCAAGTGATCTGAAACAACACTGAAGCTGGAGGACCAGGTGCTAGAGGCCCCTGCTTTGCTAGTGTCAGGGAATGTGCTAGAATATGGCGGTGGGGGGGTGGGTTCTGGGTTCCAGGTAGCCACTGTTTGTCCCTAGGCACAGAGTAATCTCCACCTTAACAACTGGAGTTAAATAAAACTTGAGCCCCCAAGCATATGTTTTTTTTAAAAAACAATGTGTTAGTTTATCTAAGACAGTTAATCTTCCCTAACTTCTCCCTGAAAAAGAGCCTAAATAATTAATTTCCTTTTTATGCTTCCTGTTCTGTCCTGTCTAAAACAGCCTAGTCTGAAGGATATGGGCAAACCACCCAAGATGGCTTGAGAATGGTGATTGGAAAAAGGCCTCAGACCTGCTGGCTTTGATCCACCACAGTGAAACTTGGATCTGTTGTATGTCAAATGATCCAGGTTTATTCAAAAAGGGAGTCTTCTGTAAGGTCTGTTCCCCGGGCACAATCTGCTGAGGGGCTAGCGCAAAATAGGTAAAGGGTCCTTTGGCTGTTTTTTTTTTTGTTGTTGTTGTTGTATTTTTTTCCCCCAGTGCTGGGAATTGAACCCAGGCACTCATGAATACTAGGCAAGTGCTCTACCATTGATCTAGAGCCCCAGCCTAGTTCCTATTAGGTTGCAAATGCTTTTTCGTGCAGTAAGTGAATCACAATCAAGTGGAAAATGGCAGTTTGTGACCACACCATAAAAAGAAATTCCCCAGAGCTTTTTATCTTAAAAAAAAAAAAAAAGCTACCAATGGGGCTCACGATGATAATGTACCCCCAGAAGACCCTAGACAAGTAGAACCTTGCTGTGAGCCACTTGGCACAGAACCCAGTGCAGTGTCACAAAGTCAAACCAAAAGATGAAACAGGAGATTTCTAGATTTTCAAAGTCAGGGAGAAGGCTGAGGATGGAGGGAAGCTAAGCCTGGTTCCTAAGTTTGCTTTCAGACCCGCACACTCCCATTGGAAGGGTGTAAAATGGTACAGCCACTGTGGAAAAAGGGACAGCAATATCCCTCAAAAAATTAAACCCAGAATTCCCATGTGATCCAGCATTTCACCTCTGGGCAAACACATGAAAGAACTGAAATCAGGGACTCAGATATTTGGACACCAATGGTCGTAGCAGCATTTAATAACCATAGCCCGAAGGTAGAAGCAACACAAGTGTTCCTCTATAAATGAAGGGAGAAAACAAATGTGACATGTACATTTAATGGAATATTATTCAGCCTAAGAAACAACGGAATCCTGTTGCATGCTACAATATGGATGAAGCTTTCGAACATTATGCTAAGTGCCAAAAATGTATGGTTCCACTTAGATGAGGTGACTAGAGTCATGGAAGTCACAGAGATGGAGGGTAGAATGGTGGTTGCCTCAGGATGGGGAAGAGAATGAATAGGTCATTTTTGTACAGTTTCAAATGATGAGAAAATTCTGGAAATGGGTTGGGTGATGATTGCACAACAACCATTGTACTGAGAGCCACCAAACTGTACACTTAAAAACTTAAACTGAGTAGCAAAAGCGAGATGGAAAAAGTGAACACCAGAGACTCAGTGGCCCTGAAGCCACTCACAGGACCCAGATAACAAGTGAGGGGGCCAGGAATGGAACCCTAAAGCAGTGACTGCACCTATATTTCCATGACCTCTGAAAAAACAGGTCTGTGGTTTTGGCATTCCAGCAGAATCATATAACCCCACCACAAGAAGGGGAAAAAAATGACTAGGATTTCATTTTATTGTCATGAAAACCGTAACTAAAGTCAGTTAATCCCTTATGAAACATCTTTCTTTTAGAGGTTCTTCTCCTGACAATAAAATAACTCTTTGTGATTCTGTTAGGCTAATTCAGAATTTTTTTTTCCTTCTGTGTAAACTGTTTTACAAGCAATTTTTTAGAAGCCCCTCACCGCACAGTTGAACTCCACACACAGAATTCAAACATTTAACTTCTTCTAGAGGAGACAACCCCACTGGTGTCCCGTGGCTCCCATCAATGTGGTTCAAGTTTTCTGCCAACTAGCCTTTGAGCTTGGGCTTCCCTACTGTCTTCCAGCATTTCCCGGATGATGACTTGCAAGGCTTTTCCCAGCAGGCTGGCCGGAAGCCACGGTGACAGCGGGGGGACGTGGATGAGCACTGCACGCCCATTTCCATGGTGGAGAGACAGGTAGTAGGTATAATCACAGACATACCTGCAGCCACATGAAATGCCACATTACTTTTCAGACACCCTCTCACCTCCGTGAAATGTAAGCAGACACAGCAATGTGTCATTCACAAAGCAGAACTGCCACTAGAGAGACCAGAAAGAACATGGGGCTGAGAACAAGTCCAGACGGACACTCTTGGTCTCATGGTCTCAAAGCCAGCCAGTGGCCAAGACAGAAAAGGACTATGTTCAACCAACTAGTTCAAAACACCTTTGTCCCAGGACTCCCTTCCTCATTCGTGTCTTTACCGAGTCCTGTATTCATTCATTCCTTCGAGAGAGGAGAAGATGCCAGCTGGAGTTAAGAGTTTGAAGAAGCAAGTTGAATTAATCTTTATCTAGGGCTGAAGCTACATAGTTAACTCACAACTTCAGTCCCCCTCCCCACAATTAAAATTAAAAAGCATCCACAAAATGTTCACAGTTCTGAAAAATTGCCTCTCTTTTCCCATTATAATGTTCTAAAGCCTGTTAGGGGTTGGGGGTTCCAGAAATGAGACCTCAGGCTAGCCAGGGGCATGAGCAGCAGTGCTGTCTGCATCAAAGAAGGGTGACTGCGGCCACCTCACAAGCAAGTGGCCAACTAGACAATGTAGGATGGTCTTTAGAGGGGAGAAGGAACTCTGAGGGCGCTTCCCTCTGCCTTACTTGCTCGGTGCTTTGACACCTGCAGAGTGTACCTGCCCGCATCTCCAGAAAAGGCCACCTCCACATCTTCAATGTCAAGGCGCCTACAAACTGCCTTCATGCTGACCACCGACACCATCACTTCTGGGCCACCTGGGAGGCACACACCACCTTCTGGCCGGAAGCCCCGTATGTCAGCATCCTGGTAGCCTCTGTTCTTGCTGCACTGTTCCAGAAAGATGGCCTTGGCAGAGGTGTGCATGCCCACGTGCACAGCAAGCTGTATGAACACACACAAGAGCAGAAAGATCACAGGAAACCAGGACACCAAATGTACAGAAGGCCCACACTGTGGGAGAGTCCAGCTCCAGGGTACAAAACATCTCAGGCCCCAAATCCACCATGAAACCCCAGGGTCCCCCTGCCTGTGTTCCCTAATGAATATGGTAGGAAGAAAAGCAGCTGGGCTCTTTCAGCTGAATAGAAACTGTGTTGTATTTATATTTAAATACTTCTATATTTCAAAATGTTCTCACAAGTCTGTGTAGTCTCTTTCTTGGGGGTGGTGTGCAGAAGCAAGCCCATATCTAAGGCGACCACAGAAGGGGCTTAGTGTTTTAGTGGAATCACACATCTTTTTAATGAAACTTTTATAAAGGAAGTTAATAACAGTCCAATAAAATAGTATTAGAATTTATTTGAGGTGATTTTTCTCTTTTCAAAAATAGCTGCGGAGTATTTTATCAAAACATTTGGGGGCATTGTCTTAACAGGCTCAGTGGTGTAAGTTTTATTAATCTCATATCATCTTTGGGGAGAATTAGGAATAGTTGTACAAGTTTTTTTTAATACAATAATTATACTAAGATGATACTTTGAAGCTGGTTCCTCCCTGGGGAGACCACCCACCCAGGTCTTTGCCTGAAGTCCTACCTTAGAATTAACCAGTCCTGCACAGGCCCGTGTGGGACCTAGCCCAGGGCTCCTCCCTCAGGTGGAAACTACCTTTGAATCCTGACTTGAAACACTACTTCCATTTCTTTTCCTCCTCCACTCTCTCCAGACTTTCTTTTCAGATTGAGTCCATATTTCAGCTTAAGCTTTTACAAACAAACACAGAATCTTACGACACCAGTCAGGGCTTTACATTATTGGTAGGACCTGGGGACATGATATACTCCAGGCATCTGCCTAGAGCCAGGTCCAGAAAGTTCATAGTTCCTGAGCCTAACCACATCATCAGCCACCTGGCCCTACCACCGCTCCACCCATCACTTACTTGTGGTTGAAAATCTTCCCAGAGTCTGGCGACCCTCCTCTCTGCCTCCCTGTAATCCACAGGCAGCTGCAGAGTTCGCAGCTCCACCACTGTGTCTGTCCCCAGGCCCAGCTTGGAGAATTCCTGCAGGAAGAAGCAGGTGGATTGCCTCAGTTGACAGAGCACAAGGGGAGTCCCTGAAGCCCAGCCCTTGTGCTCCACAACCAGGGGTCTTCTGTGATCCTCAACTTAGCTCTACAGTGTCAAAGAAGCCTGCAAGATTGCCCCTGCCTCGCAATGCAAATACCCCACAGAGTTGCACCTGTCAAGGTGGGGTGCCCTGTGGAGGCACATCTGAGCTAGCCTTGACTGCTGAGGCCCGTGGAAATATGGGTGAGACAGATGGAAAAGCAAGGTTGGGCATGCCAGCAGAGGAAGCTGCAGCAGTAGAGGGGACCACGAGAGCCTGAGGCCTTTGGGAAATGAGGTGTGTTGTGCTGCTCTTGGCAGTGCTGAAGGGTTCGTCTGTGTGTCCTGTGTGTCACAAGACAAAGCATTTAGCACACCTGAATGCTAATTCAAGCACAAACCATCCAGAGTGTCTCCAGGTTTTTTGGTTTTTGTTTTTTGTGGTGCTAGGGATTGAACTTGGCCTCAAGCTTGCTAGGCAAGCTCTCTACCTCTTGAACCACACCTCCTTCTGTTTTTATCAGTTTCTTTTTCAGACAGGGTCTTGTGCTTTTGCTGGGCCTGGCCTCAGACCATGATCCTCTTCCCTCTGCCTTCGCTGGGATTACAGTCTGAGCCACCATCCTCAACATTACCCAGGTATTTTGTATGAGCACCCAGACCCCCGTGGCACACCTGGGGTCCTAGGCCACAAGCACTGTGTCTCATTGCAGACAGAGGCATTTTGCAAAACTAAGCGAGAGCTGGAAGTCGTTCTGAACCTGAGTTGAGGGAAGGTCAGATAGAGGGAGCATTGCACAGAGCCCAAGTATAGTGGTGCAGGGAAAGGCACAAGCTTTGAGGTCATAAAGACCCGGATTTGAGACCTGGCTGTAGCACCTTACACTGGGGACGTGAGACATGTCATTTAACTATGGTATGCCTCAGTTTTCTCATCTGTACAATGGGGACAGTTGAAAAGCAGAGGAGTTTTCATGAATATTAGATGAGCTCACTCACAAGTATTTCACCATCATTTGATGAGATGATCCACTGGGCACAGTGCCTGGCACATAGTTGGGGCTTTATAGGGGGGATTTATAATGAACCCATGTTAATCTGAGAAAGTCATGTAAGGCAGATTTATCAAAAGTGACATTTATTAGCATTTGTGAGCCTGGGACCTGTCAGAAGCAGCAAGAATGTTCTGCACCAGCAGACTGCAGGTGGCTGGCTGCCACCACCATTTTTGCTGCTAAGACAGAAGGGCTGGTTGTTTCAAAGGGAAGACCAGTTCTGTGCAGAACTGCAGAGGGCCAGGGCCTTGTGCTGTCCCAATAGGCTTTAGCTCTCAGCCAGAATTGCAGCCTTTTGTGCTAATGGTGCAGAGCTGGGCATAGCCTGTACCCAAAGAGAAAACCAGCAGATTGCTGTAGCTGGGCTCTGACCAAGCTCAGCAAGGCATTGATTGTCCACACAGCCCATAACGCCTCAAAAACACCTGAATCCCACCAATTGCAAAAGAAGCAGAGGCTTTCTGCCTCATTCTCTCTCCCCCTCTTTCAGCCTCCATGTCCTTGGAGACCTGCTGGCAAGGGACACATGGCAGTTTCACAGTGGGAGCCCAAGGCAGGGAGACACTGATTGCTCTGAATTTGTTCAGATCTGCCAAGGCTGTACAGCAGCTTCTGGGTTGGTTTTCCAAGATCCAATTCTTCCCTAACTGAAGGAAATCTTGGGGCTAGCACCAGGATGCATGAAGTCCTTCATCCTCTCTTCCAGAAAAGCTGCTGGAGCCCAAAGTGCCAGCCCTGCTCAGGGCTTGCTCGCTACTTCACACTCCTGAAGGGGAGGTGGGGAGTAAAAATGGTGGCTTCAGAAGCCAGAAGGTGAGGACATGGGGCCAGAGAGAGGAGCCCAAACCTGGCTTCTGCCACCCACTACTGTTTGGGCCAACTATCAGAATTTGCTGAGCCTCGGCTCCCCCATATGTGAAATGTGGTAACAATAGGACTTCCCTCAAAGGGTTACTATGAAGGTTAAGAAAAACCACCCAATTGGAGGAGGCTCTTTGGCGCTTGGCAGATCAGCAGGAGTTTGCCCAGCCAAAGAACTTTCCATAGTCCGAAACATTGAGGCTTGGGCATATGTGCAAAGACCTTCCTTCCTTCTTTTCTTTCTTCCCTTCTCTCTCCTTCCCTCCCTTCCTTCTTTCCTTTTCTTCTCCTTCCTTCTTTTCTCCCTTCCTTCTCTCACCTCTTTCTTTCTCTTTTTCTAGCTTTGTATCTTTTCCTCTCTCCCTCCCCTTTCCATCCTTCCATCCATCTTTTACCCATCAGTCATTGTAAATGTATGAGGCACACACTTGTGCAGTCTCTGTGCTGGGCTCTAGTCGAGCTTTGGTGTGTATGGAGGGATGTGACAAAGGAAGAGAGAGAGCTATCACATGTTCCCCTTCACCTACAGGGTTGGAAGGGACCTTGGAGCCATCCTGTGTGACTGAGACCCCCAGCCTGGGTTACAACATCATCCAGGCCAGAGGCTCTGTATGAAAGGAGAAGCTAAATCTAGAGCTGAGAGGCAGAAGAGGAAGAAGAGTTACAGAGACAAAAAGAGGCCTAGGAGTTGGGGGAGTGGTTCAGTGGTAGAGGGTTTGCCTAGCACGTACAAGGCCCTGGGTTCCATCTACAGCAGTGCATTTAAAAAAAAAAAGACCTGGCAGGGCAGGAAGTAAAATAAAGCACAGGATACCCATTGGTAAAGTATAATGCAGCCATTAAAAATGACTTTACAAAGATACTGCCTTGGGGACGCCCCCCCCCTCAGGTGGAATATATAAAAACATCAGGATGTCTCATTTTTTCCCTCAGCTTTTAGGGAAATAAAAACTTCCTGACACAGTCATCCTTTGAGGACAGAATTAGGGCTGGCGCTCATCTCTTTCTATACCCAGTATGACTTTTATAATAAACCCATCATGTGCCATTTTCATGGTTCTAAACATAGTCCAGTAATCATCCTAGGGTCCCCCTTGACACTATGCCAGGCACCTCACCTCCCTTCTGAAAAGGAATAGGTGCTGGTCCATCTACAAATGAGGAAACTGAGGTCCAGAGACTGCATTTGTCAAAGAAGAGGAGTTTTTGGAAGCAGCCATGGAGGAGATGCTACCATAAAAGTGGGGGTGAGCACTGAGGGTTGACTGCAGCCCTAATTCATAGTTTGGGAACTCTTGGGGTGCTGGTGAAAGCCCCCTCTGCCTTAGCAATGTCAACCTCTATTCTCCACACGTGACTCTTGCCCCAACGCCAGCCCCAGCCCTCTCTCAGTATCCTTTAAGTCATTCTTCCAAACTGGTGGCTCAGTGAAAAAACCACGAATGAAAGACAGTGACACCACAATTCCCAGTCCTCTGCCTACAGTGGTTGTTTCCAAAGACTTTTGGTCACATGCCCCTGTTAATAAGAAAACTCCTTTGTATCACAGTGAGCCGGACACAGATTATCCTGTCTGGACACACAGTACACACTCCCAGTAGGCTTCATTGTTGGTAGAGGACAAAAATTGATGTTTCAGGTGGTATTCTTAATCCCTTCCTTTTTAGGGGACCAGCGTGTTGTGAACTTGTCATTGTTTTTATATCAAAATGCAGCTGAGAATGTGAGCTCGTATGAGATGGGTGAAGCATTACTCAGCTGTTTCCTCCTGGTTTGCATCATTCATGTTATCGCCTATCTGCAGGGTTTTTGTGAAGATTTCTTGATTCTAATTTGAGGGTTAGCTTAATTAAGACTGGATAATATAATCCTGAATCCCATTAACTAGGATGAATATTCTGTAATAAATTGAATCAAAGAGGAAGAGCCCTTCTGTCGCCCCAGCACCCTTGGCCCCCAAGAGTGCAGGGGGCTCTATTTCCTTCAGGAAACCATGCCTGTCAGCAGACTCAAGCCATACAAAACAAGGCATGGTGCCATGGCCAGGCTAGCTATGACACATTGGTCAAAGTTAATTTCTTAATTATTTTTATAGTCTAACTATAGAAAGTCACATGCATTAAAGTGCTATTAAAATTCAGAAAACAATGACTGTTGGTGAAAATAAGGAGAGACTGGACTCCTTATAAACCCTGTTGGTGGGAATTTAAAATAATACAGCTGTCAGAGAAAACACAGAAGTTCCTTTAACAATTAAATCCAGAATTGCCATATGATCCAATAATCCCACTTTTGGGCAGACACCGGGAATTGAAGGCAGGATTTCAAAGAGATAGTTGCACAGCCATGTACATGGCTGCAGTATTCACAGGAGCCAAGAAATGGAAGCCACCCAAGCGTCCATCGGAAACTGTGGTAAGTAGGTACAAGAGATTATTAATTAGCCTTTATAAAAAGATCCTGTCACATGCTATAATATGAATGAACCTCGTGTATTTTCTTTTTGAGACAGGGTCTTGTTAGCCCAGGCTGGGGTCTGCCGCCCTAGTGCTAGAATTAGAGGTGAACCCCACTCCCAGCAATATGAACGAACCTTGAGGGCGTTATGCTAAGTGAAATCAGCCAGTCACACGAAAACCAATACTCCATGATTCTGCTTCCATGAGGAATCAAATGTAGCCAATTCATACAAGCAGAAAGTAGTTATTAGGGACTAGACAGAGCAGGAAATAGGAAGCCCAGTTGGTACAGAGTTGGTACAGTTTCAGTTCTGCAAGTTGAGAAAGTTCTAGAAACCTCTTGAACAACAGTGTGAATTTATTCTAATGGTGCCGGGGTTGGGGCAAGAGGGCAAAGGAGAATACTATTGAAGAGGCACAAAGTTTCAGTTTGGGATGATGGAAAGTTCTAGAATGAGTAGTGGTGATGGTTGTACAGTAATGTGACCATGCTTAATGACACTGAATTGTACACTTGAAAAGGGTTAAGATAGAAAATTTGATGGTATTATATTTATCACAATTTTTTAAAAGTATGGTC